GGATACTACATGGGAGCTAAATTGCCACTATAAAAGTTAAAACTTTTACTTTTGGAAAAGGAAATTTTTGTTTCCTTTTTAACAAACGTCATACTTGTCCGGTCTCTTTTAGGTATTTATAAACTTACCTACTTACCTTCCACTAGCAATGGGCAATATTGTCTGCTTGCTCATGCTATCAAAGGTACTTGAACTTGCATTAGCCCCATCTTCAAATTCATAGACATTAATGGTTGGTTCTATAAGCAAATACTCAACTTCGTCTTCATTCAATGTATGATTCACCCATGGATGCTTTTCTATCTTTGATGACAATATTCCTTCCAGTTCCATTGCTACTTCCTTCATGGTAGGCCTTTCATCTCCTTTAACATGTAAGCATCTTTCCGCAAGTCTAGAGACTGTAATGATCTCGTTATGATTTTCAGTTTGCTGCAACTGTTGATCAAGAACCTGCAAGAGTCGTCCCTCTTTCAAAGAAGATAGAAAATGCTTGGCTTGATTCCTCTCTTTCTCTGGCCTCTCAAAGTTTAGAACATTTTTTCCAGTTAAAAGTTCAACTAATACTACTCCGAAACTGTAAACATCACTCTTATCTGTCAGCTGGTTCGTCTGCAAATATTCAGGATCTAAGTAGCCTAGTGTTCCTTGCACCATTGTCGCCACCTCATTCTGATCCATAGGAATTAGCTTTGATGCTCCAAAATCAGCTACCTTTGCCACGTAATTATCATCCAAGAGAATATTCGTTGGCTTGACATCTCGATGGATGACTGGGACTGATGCAGCAGAGTGCAAGTAGGAAAGGGCTTCAGCTGTTTCTGTTGCTATTCTAAGACGGATGTCCCATGTAATAGCAGACGACTTGCCTTTGTTGTGGATATGATCAGAGAGTGTGCCATTTGGAATGAATTCATAAACCAATAATGGGACCTCTGATTCCAGGCAACATCCAATCAGCTTCACCACGTTTCTGTGATTGATTTGAGAAAGGATGATGACTTCGTTGATAAATTGCTCTATCTGGGTGTCGTTTTGATCTGCTAGTTTGGACTTCTTTATGGCAACTGTTCTACTATCTGATAGAACTCCTTTAAAAACTGTGCCATAGCCACCCTTTCCGATAATCCTGCTCTCATCATAGTTGTTGGTTGCCCTCTTAAGCTCCTCTATGGTGAACACCTTCGCCTGATCACCAGAACCTTTATCTCTGGAAATTCGTTGCTGCAACATTATTCCACCATTTTGCCTAAAGAATTTTTCTCTAAGCATCATAAGCTTACGTTTCTTGAGTCCGAAGTATAACCAGTTGACAAACACAATCAGAAATATGGCAGCAGCTGAGGAACCTGTAACAAGAAACAATGATCGATCACTAATAGCACAAATGATCTGCACCTCTAATATTAACTGATAAGATTTTGATCGGTTTGCTTACCTACTGCAATCTTAATAACCATTGATTGATCTGCAGTGCAACCTGTTCCACCTTTTTTCCCATCACCAGAGTAGCCTTTTCGACATTTACATGTATAGCTTCCTTCTTCATCAATGCATTCATGTCGGCAGTCATGATTACCATTTATACACTCATTAATATCTGTAGAGTACAAATTAAATGGTCAAGCATTTCATTAGGAGTAAACTCTTCTCTTGGTGCAACAAGGATTAGCGAATAATGGAAACAAAACACCAAAAGATGAAATATAGAGCACTTACTCTCGCAGTCATTTTCAATATAAGGATTGCCCTTATAACCATTTTTGCAGCTACAGCGGTATCCAGGACCTGTATAATTTCGATCGCATTCGCTGTTTCCCTTGCATATCAAAGTATTTGTGGCTGTTGCATTTTCACAAGTCGAGTTTCCAATTGCCCAGTCAAGTAACATTGGCATCCTGGGAGTTTGAAACTCACGCAGATCATTGGTTGAAAAGTTAAAGTTCCCGTTTTTAAGAAAAAAGCCATAGCTACAAGGGTTGAAGTCGGTTATATTTGTATGGTTATTAATGCTTGTTACTATAATCTTGAAAGCGCTCATTCCTTCTGGAACTGCTACTTCACAACACCCAACTCCTGTGCAAGATCCATTTGTAAAAAGGCTTCTCCTAGCACAGTTAGAATTGCATCCTGTAACATCAATCCTCGGACCCCTTGTTCCTCTTAAAAACGCCAAGGTGTCACACCCAACTGCAACAAACTTGTTCTTGGTTGAGACCCGGATATCCGTCCCAATTTTCCCCAACGTCAAAGTTGCATGTAACCTACGAGTGGAACCAGAGCTGTTGTAGCAATCACTGGCTACAAACATCAAAATCTCCAACTCGCCCTTGTCCATCGACATACTTGAAATAACAATATTAGTTGTCCCTACACCAAGGATCGGTATGGGATTACCGGATGTTTGGTTACAGGTTACTAGGAAATTTGAATTGTAGTAGCATTCCTCATCATAACCAAACGGGTACTCGATAGTCACATTACCACATGTTTTTTTACAGTGGGACTTCCCTTGAGCACTTGCTGCCCCCAAACATGCCATAACTACCACTACAAGTAGTATCTGTAAATGCATGGTTGCTTTTTATGTGTTAATTGTGTTTTTGTTTATTGATTAGCGGAGATGAAAATAGTACTTTTATAAACATTGTCATCAAGACTTTTAGTCTCTCTTGATCGAGTCCTAAACCTGCAGCTTGACCTCTAGTTGATTTTTGAAAAGTCTATCATTAATGTCCATTTGATACCTTCCATCCGCCTTCTTCGAAAACCATAGCTACCAGTTGGTGTGGCCCCGATGGGTGGGTACATGTATAATAAGAGAAAAGGAATAACGGAGAAAGAGAGTGACTGAACACCAAGAAAGACTTTTTTTCGTTTCCATCGTTATTCTAATCATTACTTTCATTTTCTTTTATATATATATATATATATATATATATATATATATATATATATATATATATATATATATATATATATATATATATATATATATATATATATATATATATATATATATATATATATATATATAGAGAGAGAGAGAGAGAGAGAGAGGGGTGGGTTCAATTGAGAAAATAAAAAATTTAAGAATGGGGGAATCATTCTCAGCCACTCATTTTATTCAAGATAAAAAGATACGGTGACAAACTTGTAAATATGAGAACAACCTTCAATCTCAAATACGTATTTGTAGTTCAAACCCATTCATCGTTCATCATTCAAATTTCTTCTCCAAATTTCAACAATCATCAAGATTTCTTCAATTAAACCATAATCAACATCATCCAGTGCTAATCAATCATCGATCTTCGTCAATAATCAACACGATTCAACAGTTAACAACAAAAATTCGTTTTTGGTTCTTTTAATTCAACATTCAATTGTGCTTGAATACGATCAGATCTTCAACATCTATGATTAAATATACTCCCAACGTTATTAGATCAACATCATCGATAATCAACAAAAATCCATTTCATATCATTTATTCAACATCGATTATCAAATAAAACTTGAAAACTGAGGTTAGAAAAATATCAAATCGTTTTTTTTTTTTTTTTTTTGAAAAATTTCATATAATTCTCTATCAATCTACTCTTTTGTAGATTTAAATAGTCAAAATATCATGTTTCTAACATTTTTTTAAAAAGTTGAATTTATGCACTCCAACTGTTTGATGAAATGCATGAACTAAATTAGCACGTTATATTCATATATGAATATGTTTTCTCAGTATATGATTATTAAAACAAAAAACCAAATATGAAAGTCTGTATGTTATTCATATGTGAATAACATATAAAAATTATATATATTTGTGAAAATACCTTGTAATATTCATATGTGAATATTGTGTAATATTCATATGTGAATATACTGTGTAATATTCATAAGTGAATATATCATCTAATATTCACAAATGGATATACTATGTAATATTCACATGTGATATACCATGTAATATTATGTAATATTTAGATATGAAAATATTATCTAATATTCATAAGTGAATATACCATCTAATATTTACAAGTGAATATACTATGTAATATTCATAAGTGAATGCATCGTCTAATATTTAAATATGAATATACTATGTTTATTATATGCTATATTCATATATGAATGATACTTAAACTATAAAAAAAAATTAATCATAGTTTTTATTTATAACTGAATAACGAATGTACTGTAGTAAAAATCTGATTCATTTTTATTCACTTATGAATAACGATAGCTGAATATATAAAAAAAAAAAAATTTTTATTTTATCTTAAAACTATATCAATATCGATGTCTATTTGTAGAGAATAAAAAATCATGAATTTTGGTATATTTAAAATCATTTTTCGATAAAAATAGCTTCTTAAAAATTAAAAAAATCGAAAAAACTATGTTTTTGTAGAGATTAAGGTAATTATTAGCATAGTTTAAGAAAATATTTTTTTTCTCAATTGAACCCTCCTGTATGTATATATATATATATATATATATATATATATATATATATATATATATATATAAGGAGTGGTTCAAATGAGAACCGAAAATGGTTAAAAACCCTAATAACCATCTTTAGATATTTTTATTAAAACTATTTTGAACAAATCAAACACTAATATTATATTAAACAAAGTTTTTCATTCACTCATTTACAATTAGTTGCGACTTGTTATTGGATCGCTGCCGGACCACCACCTGACTGCTACCGTTGGACCACCTTCTGAGTAACAACAAATTTAGTAGCATTTTTCTAGGCGTATTCACATCTTAATATAACAAACATTGTATTTTTCATTTTTTTCTGATGCTTTTTAACACATACCATTTCATTTTTGTAGCAAAATATACAAACTTTTCTTAAAAAAATAAACTATGCCTTGAAAAAATTAATTTTCTTTTTTCTAATTTGTAGATTTCTTTAAAAATATATCATGTATACGATATGTTTACAGTTTAAAATACCATACTCAAGTTTAATTAAAATATTAATTCACTAATACAAAATTTAATATTTTTATACATACCTTTGTTCATATTTTAAAACAAAAATTATATAAAATATACAAATTAATACAGTTAGTGTTTAGTTTAATACATAAAATTCACAACATAATATAATACAATCCAATAGACTAATTTGCATATTTTAAGAAGTCAAACACAAACTCTACCAAGAACTACCACACACCACCATCGCAATCATCGTTCCTTCCAAATGAGATCTGTATATAAAATCATTAATTGATAGGTTAAATATTATATTCACAATTTAATAAACCAATTAATTTACTTATTATGAGTTTAATGCAAAATAATTATAAAAACTATTGTATTCTTACGTATTTGTACAAGAGAAAAAAAGTAATATATTCATAAAAAAAACTAATACAAAAACGGTCACACATAAATAATTTGTATTTTAACACACAATTCATTACGTCACTGCTTAATACAGTTAATTCGTCGTGTAAACAAAAAATTCACAACTTAATGCAATTAATTCACATTTTTAAACACAAAAATCACATTTTAATATACAAAATTCACACTTTAATATAGTTAATTCACAGTTTAAACAAAAAATTTATAGGTTAATGCAATTAATTTACAGTTTAAAACATAAAAATCATAACTTAATATATAAAATTCACAACTTATTATAATAAATTCACAGTTTATTACTCAAAAAGTATAAATTCACAACCATTTATCAACTTAAAATTCTTAATACAGTCAATTAACAGTTTAATACACAAAATTCATAACTCAATAGAATAAATTCACGGTTTAATATATAAAATTCACACTTAATATAGTTAAGTTACAGTTTAAATAGGAAGATCACCGCTTAATGCTGTAAATTCACAGATTAAAACATAAAAACCATAGCTTTATACACAAATCATTTATATTTTAACATAAAATCCATATAAGATTCACAACTTAATATATGCGATTCACAAGCCAATAATGTCTATTTATAGCTTAATCCAGATCATTCACAGTTTAATCACAAAATTCATATAGTTGAAGTTTAAGAACGAGAAGATATCCACATCGTATATGTATCAAAATAATATATTCACGACTTAAAACTTTAAGACCTCCACAAACATTTTATATTTAAACTGTGAATTTTAAAAATTTATATTTCAAAACCATCATTCACGATTTAATACAACTTAACTACATATAAATCCTGTCGAGACAAAATTTAAGACTTTATAATATTTCATCTATATGTTCCATATAATTAATCTTACATAAAAAATTAATTTACTATACATTTATGGAATCCTTCGTTTAAACAAAGGTTGTATAAATAAATCAATAACTATTCCTAAAATTCATTTAATGGAATTCATCGTTTAAATTAAATGTATTATAAATAAATCAATAACTATTTCTGCAAGACTTATTAAATTAAAAGTAAATAGTGAACAAAAGTAAACAATAGAAAGAAATATACCATCAGTATTATACTTGTCCTTTAGAGCTCCAACTAGGGAAGAACCCACCCGCTTTGCGGGATTGAATTAGATTTCATTCTATTTCTTTTGAAAGAAAAATGTGATAGATTACAATTCTTTCAAACTCTTTAACAATAAAATCTATTATCACAATTTTAATCACAACCAAGGCAGTTTTCCTCACCTCAGTCGGTGGTCCTAATGATGAATCAATCATAGTATATTGTTCAACCTATAAAGAGTACAAAACACAAAAAATACTGTCATTTGATGTTGTCAAGATCCATGTCTACCATACCCCCAACAGAGCACCCAACCAACATCTTTCAAATAAAAAAAACAATAAATCATATCAGTGGAAATATTGTTAAAACTGTTTGTTGGAATATAAGGGTAAAACGGTCATTAAAGTTAACAAAGGGGAAAAAAGTTTTAACAAAGGTGATTTTAGGGGCAAAATGGTCATGTTACATGAACTTCACACCACAGCGGAATTTTTTTTTACCAGACTGCAACAAATACCAATGTTTTTTTACTTTTTACTTTCATTTATTCATGTATTGTAGCATCTTTGATTAAAAATTAAAAAAAAATTAAAATTAAAAATACCTGAAATCGCTTTAATGCAATGGTAAGCACATTTGGCGCTTCCAACAATGTCAATTCCTTTTTGGCTTTCTCATAGGATTTACACCTGTAAGTTAAAAAGTTAAGAAATAAATAAATAAATAGTTTTAAGGTAAGATTAGATGAGAGATTTTGAACAAACTTGCTGCATTTGTACTTTTTTTCACTATCTAGTACTTCAGTGCATGTAAGCTTCTTCAAGAGTTGCTATATCACCTTCAATTTCAACAGTGAGATCCATCATCTGCTCATGCCGCTATGATTTTCCACCACATGTCATGCACTTTATCGACAATTCAAAAGCCACAGTAGCTTTAGAAATTAGAAGCTTCTTGTGTTTTAGATAAAGATGATTTGAAGTAGTTAATAAAAGACATTGTTACCTTAGATCTTAGATAACCACCAAATGTAAGTCCGATTAGAGTTGTTTCTAAGGAGTTGGAAGATTTTTTTCCAGCTTCCTTAAGACTGGCGGATTGCAAAGTATCAATAGCATACCTGTAATAACATCACTTGATAACTAAGTCAACTCACTAAGAGACTATTACATCAATTTAAATGGCATAAATCATAAATGCAAAAGTATAAGTCACTTTACCTTAAAAATTCATGTGCATTTTCTTCTTTCCCATGGCCAAGATTGCTTCAGCGGAAGACCTTCAATCGATCATCGTTTTTCAGAATTTCTGATAATCGATTATCGTTTTTCAGAATTTCTAATAATCGATCTTTGCAAGTCGATGCTGATAGAAGCATGAAACGGAAAGAGAAGTACAGGCACCGATTCAAAGTAAATCACATACCTCAACGCTTGTGGCTGCCTTTGACCCCATCATTCTTTCTCACTCATCTAAGATTGCTAGGATTTACTTCAATCTCAATGTGAAACCTCTGTATATCCAACCTGAGAAAGCAGCAGACAATTCAGATTTTATTTGGGCCTATCAAGTAAGCGAAGAAACCAACCGCATCTTAATGATAATACGAAATCGGTGATGATATTGAACAGGTAAGCAACAGACAAACCCTAGAAATTTAGAAAAAAGAAATCGAGTCGACATATGCGAAGAATATACCCGAGATTAGGTAAACCGATCGGGAAATCGGAAGATCTAATTGCTTCGTTCTCTCGTTTGTGTCCTTCAGACGACAAATTAGAAGGGTGGAGAGGGTGGTCTGGAGTTGCTTCGGACGGAAGCCGGTGGAGGATCAAACCAAGGTGGGGAAGGTGAGTAGTAGACGTAGAGAGATACAGAAGAAGAGAGAGGTGTATGGACGGATGCTTATTGAGTCGGTGGACATTAAGTGGAGGTGGACACTAATCTCTTTTCCACTGGATTCTGTAACACGAGTATTTGTAGACACTTCATATATCAACAAAAAAAAATTAAAAAGCGGTTAACAATGATCCAAAAAAAAAAAATCCCACCAATGAGAAGCAAGTCCTGTTCACCTGCCACTTCAAAATTAGTATATATATATAATGACAACCCATATTCTCGATCCAAGCAATGGAGAAAACTATATCCCTTGCACACACATACAGATCCTTCAACTGTAGAGCATCTCCAAAACATCTCGAAGAACAATAAGTTCGACTCTCATTTCTTGCAAATCTTATGTTTAATTTTTAATGGTAATCTTTGAAAACCATATGAAATAATCTTCAGAAAGAGATCAAACACGAAAAGCTTGTCACTCATGACCAAACAACACATCTCACTACTAGAAAAATACCCTTTAATGACGTGCAACTCGTTGTTTTACGATACGCAAAAGTGTGTACCCTAAAAATAGTGTCAGCTCCCCCAAAATGTAAAGGATTTAGGTCGTGCATTTTTGCATGCCCTAAAATTAGTGTTGGAACAAAAAATAAATAAAAACGCGGAGGGCACTTATCATAGGTAGCGTGTCGTGAAATCATGTCGCTTTATATTTTTTTTTTAATGAAATGCGCATCTTCATCATTAGTAGCAGCGGGAAAAGGAATTCCCAAAAAATTAGAAAAGTTAAAAACCCCGCCATGGCGATTTAGGGTTGGTTCCATCTTCATCTCTCGTTTAACTGTATCTCCATTTTCCCTTCCATATACAATCTCTCTTCCCGACGATGAAGGTTTCTCGTGATTTCACAAATCATTCAACACGATCTCCACACAAATGCTTCTCAACGTCGGTGACCTCAGGCTCATACACGCCTCTTCTTCTCTTCATCATTGTTCTCTCATATCTCCTGCTTCAAATACATCCTCCCTATTCTAGGGCTTTTTGTTCAGGACCTCACAAAAGCAAATCAAACCAGAGCATGTGTGGACGATTCAACTTCGTTTGCTGGCTTCCCCACCATCATCGATATACTAGGGTTGGTCGTCCTTAGAGTCACAATCTCCATCTGACACGAACCTAGAAAAAATTGATATCCCAGCTTTCCCAACACTTTCTTCATCAAAATCGATCCCTCCATAAAAACTTTCACCACCGGCCATAACCTCCATCTCCACACCACTAAAAACGCATCTCATCATCAGTCTCTCTTCCAAGAATTTTCCATGGAATTTTCTAAATTTGAAATCACACTCCAGAGTTTTTTCTACAGGGAGAAAAGATAAGACTTCTCCAAGGTATGTTCTTCTTTTTGTCTTTGCCTTCTCTGTATTCTCTTTCTTTTTATTACACTTCTTCTTCCTTCTTGTTTGTTATTTTCAAAAACTAATTATACGTACTTCATGTGCAAATTAGAAGATCAACATTTGTAAAGCATATCTATAATGATGAAATGCCCACATCAGAAGAAAAATAAGTCACGGGAAGGAAGAAAATTGATTAGTAACAACTTTTTGATTTTTATGTTGTTGGTATGGATTTAAATCTCAGTATTAAGAATTAGGAACTTATTTGTCGATTTCTGATTTCTCTCTAAATATGATTTTTTTTCTTTTAAAATTTCTTAGTTAATAGTCAAATACATAGATCCCAAAGTGTTTATTAGTTTACTTCTAATTTCAAAATAGTATAATTTCAGTAATGTGAAGTTTTGGTTTCTCTAATTATTGACTTCTGGTCCTGTGGACTGTGAATATGTATTGGTTAAGTTATTGTTCTAAAATGTTGTTTTTGTAGTAGTGTCCAACATATTGTTTGTTATGTACTTATAGAAAAGTAATGTTTATGCTTTATAAAATTAAGTTTATTGTTGATTCTGATAACTTTATAAAACTGTAAATGTAGGCTTTGCCTTGGTCAATGGTCAGATCATGGAGAGAGAACTGGTGGCTTTTATGCTTGCAATCGTTATGAATCTCCATCAAGTAGACTACTTTTATGGAGGACGTTAGAAGACGTTTCTACCCCTGATATGCCAGTTGATGACAACAACGCAGAAAGTCATCAAGTCACAAAAGAAACATTACCACCACTCCCTGATGATTCTGATCACATAAGGGAGAATAAATCTTCACCAGGGGTAGTAGTGTCCTTTTTTAGAAACAGACCTAATGGTTTTATATATTCAAGTGGTGTTCATGAGGGTGAATACGCAGATCTACCAGATTCTCTTCTGAACTTGTCTAATGAAGATGATATTCTTTTCATGGATGTAGATGTGAAGGATCATATGATAGATACAATGGATGATCTTCCTAATCAAGAAGTTGATTTATGCAGTGTTGATGTAATTCATGTTGTTCAATATGATAAGTCATCAACATCAGTATCACAAATAGAATTTGTTCGGCTTAAAGAAGGGCAAATTATTTGCCATTGTACAATGAGATGCCATTACCTTTAGAAGTTGGTAGTATGAAAATGATTGATCCAGAATCAATGGATGATTCTAATGTATCGGATCAGAACAACTCTGATGATGATGCTGACATACCTTACTTCTCTAATGTTGAAGCTATGGTATAATTTTAATTTTTGATTTTAATTTTTTTCTAGCTCTAGTCTTTAATAGTTGATGATGTATTATTGTTTCAGATATTGGAAATGGACTTGACCCATGCTCAGGAGTCATGCCTTGCAAGTGAAGGTACAGTTTCTTATTTGATTATGATTCTTGAAAATCTTGGATTTTAGATAAATAATAATATAATGTTGGGGTTTTTTGTTATAATAATAAAACTAATCATACTTTACTCACTATTATGAATGTTGGGGTACTAACCAATCGGTATACAAGGGCATAATTGTTAAAGATCAGTTAGAAGATGATGAAAGATGTTCACGCCTTGAATAAATTGATCGGTCAGAGATTGAAAGTGTGATAAGTTCTTTGTAAGAGGTGGAAATCTAGGTCGACACTCAATTTTTTGGTTGATTATATACAAGTTATTCATTGATGCTGACTGGACGTAATTTTTATTTGTAGTGGCTGGTGTGTCAGGGCCAGGGAAGACATGCACGTATTAGATCTTAAAACATATATTAAATACTAGACATAAATTTAACTTTATATTTATATATAAGTTTATATAAATAGTCCACACAAAAACATACAAGGCAAACTAGGATTGGTATAGTTTGGGGGTCCATACTTTCATAATTTTTCAATGGTATAATTATTTCATTATGCAAAAAAAAAAAAGGGAGTCGTAGTTCACGTAAATCTGTTAATGCTCTAGTGAGACATTCTCTTCGTCATACCTAGTGAGCGTACACATTAAGTCTTGCATTATAACCAGAGTCTCCTGGATAGAGAGTGAGATAGTTGTGTATAGATCTATACGGGATTGACAACCCACACCTAAATTGTTCGCTACAGTTAGACCGACAAGTCTAAGGTGACAAATATCTACCAATTCTGATGCCAGAAGAACATCGTTCAGGCATAACAGTCATATTAAGCATGGTTATAATAACTCATATAGGGATTAACTATATTATTTGGTTTACGAGAAGCTTACACCTCATCAGTTTTATAAACGACTAAAACTACATACCATCTTACAGTACAACATTTCTTTTATTTCTGGTCTTAGTGTTTAAGACTACAGTTTATACTTAAGAAAATATTGGATTTTCTACGAACATACACTATCATTTTACAAGGAAAAGATACAAAAGTCATACGTACATCTTTAGTCTTGGATATGAGACTTACAGTCATTTTTATAGAAAATATTGGATTTTCTGGAAGTATACAAAATCATTTTAAACAAAACAATTACAAGCACTTTTCACACAAAAATTTTTATCAACTCACCAACATTATTGTTGACGCTTTTCAAAACTACTTGTATTCTCAAGGAATCCGTAAACATGTATTCAAATCATTTTGAGAATAGGAGTTGTTGCATCATGAATTTCTACGTTTTTGACATTTGATGCTTAACTTTTGAACAAACACAGTGTGTGAACCATGTAAACTTGTATTCTCAATGTATGATGTCTGGGTTGCTGTGTTTCATTTATATTCAACTATTATGATATTATACAATGACATCATCCGCCCCCGGACGTTTCCGCCGTTCCGGTTTGGGGGTGTGACACTTTCTACCACCATGCGTCGCCACATCATCTTGTCGAAAATCATCAATTGTTGCCTACAATCCATCATTCTCAACCAAAACTACACCAATTGACTAACCATACTGTCATCAATGGCGATAATGTTAGATACAGGATTTTCAAACCACCAGATCTGCCACTAGATCTTTTCAGGTAGTGTAGGCTTGAAGCTTCAATGATATAAGGTTGTACATGGGTTGTGGAAGGCAACGAATGGAGGAACTGACCAGGTAGTATGATTTTTTGGCGTAAGCTAGTAAAAGGCAACAAATGGAAAAACTGACAGGGGTGTTTGGGTTGGACTTCTTGGTGGTTCAAATAGTGATAGTTCTAGTGGAACACGATCGGCTTAGTGGCAAATATAAAGGATTCTGATGAATTTTGAAGAGGTAATCGCAGGTGGCTACTGGATAAAGGCGTTGGATGAAACAGGTTGGTAGTGTTTCCTTCAGACCTCTGATGAAGGTGATTAGTGGTAGCCCTGACAACTTTTGACAATGGGATTCGGTGTTTTTGTGTATTCTAAAGTCTTTGTGGTAGAACCAATAAATTAAAAAGAATTAATATTATACATTTAAAAAAATTAATGATCCACTAAAATATTATTTATTATATATAGAATATAATAAATTAAATGAAATAATCCAATAAAAAATCTAATAATTTTAAAAAAAAAATAATCCAATAAAAAAATTTAAAAATAGTGAAAAGAAAATAATAATATAATATTTATTAATATATAAATATTATATAATAAAAATAAAACCAAATGATATATAATAATCAGATAAAAAAATTAATCCAATAAAATTAAAATTAAAAATAAATTAATGTATAATAGTTCAATAAAATTAAAAAGAAAGAATGATTAATATATAATAATTCAATAAATTTAAAAATAAGAATTGCAAAATGGTCATTGTAATTTGGTAAAAAGAGATAACTGCAAAAATGGTCCCTAATGGTAAAATTATCATTTTAAAAAAATTAACGACCAAATGTTAAAGTTACCGAAATATGACCAAAACCACAGCTAAACCATCAATTAAGGACTTTTTTTGCTAATAAAC